TGAGGATTAAGCGGTGTATAGATAATGGATGGATGGTAGTATTTTGGCACTGGCTCAAAAGCAGGTACTTTTTCGGCAACGCCTTGCATGACTCATTTGTTTTACCATTTGAAACGGCACCACAGAGCTCCGTGTCATGAGTGTAAAGCCAGATCTGAATGTCATCCAAAGCAAAAAACTATTCTGAATGCCTTTGCCAGCGCCATTTGCCGTACCAGAAAGGTTCCAAATATTCTTTTCACTGTTTCATCGCAGGTTTTCACTTCAGTACAAAATCACCCCAATCACTTTAGAGTGATTTATTCTTTCCAAACAGAGTTAATCAAATCATCTGGTGAAATGTCCTGTATTTTTCTTCATATAAAAGCTAAATATGAAACGTCAGTGTTTTTCCAATGTCGTCCAACCTTAATTGAAATAAGAATGAGCCAAAAAGGAACACAAAGCAACATGTAATTGTGTTCAGCTGGTGGGTTAACTTGAAGCTTATGTTATTCATAAGATTTCAACATTGTGAAGTTGTTTTTTTTAAAATGGTCGTGCCACACTCTGTTAGCCGAGGGGATATCAGACTCCATCATAAGTTCACTGCTCAGTCTGGTGTGTATGTATAGATTTATGCCACCATCACTCTTCTTATAGGACAGGAAGCGCAGCAGATGTTTTTTGAAATCATCCAATTGTCATTATTTAACCAGTCCTGCAATGTACAAAAGCTCCAGTTTATAACAGCATCTGTTCTGTGAGATGCACGTGAGACGGACGACTGACAAATGCAACACAAACACCTCTGATGTGTACATCTGCTGTATTCCCACATAGCCAAACCCATCTCCTGCTGCTTCTTTTTTTCCTACTTTGTCACTACAAGGGCTGCTTTTACTTTATTCAGTGCTATTTGGTCCAATAAGCTGCACTTAAAAAATGCGCTAGACAGCAAAATGTCCTGGCAAATGGCACTTATTGTTAGAGTCGATAGAACAAACACACCTGTGAGTCAAAATATTCCACAAAAAGACATTTGTTAGGTTTTAAATGTTAAAATAACAGGCAGTTCATAATGAAGACAAAGCATCTGGGCATCCATTAGTGGCTCTAATAAAGCGCAGGTTACAATGCTTTAGTGTTTAGTTTATCATCCTTTGCTTGACAACATCTGGGCCCGGAATCAGTTTCTATAATGGCTGCGCTGAAAGTTTTCTCCAACCAGCAAATCTTTCAGTTCATTTGCACAAGAGAATGGATGAGCGGATTTGTTCCTCCATGATGTCCCGTAGGTGCTGTGTGGGATTGAGGTCAGGCCTCACTGATTTTCTCCTGAGGAAAATGTCCCTTCAATAGGCAGCGGTTACGCTCGGGATCATTGTCCTGAAAAAAGATCCGCTTCTGTTGCTTGAAATTTCTTTTGGCTTATTTATTTACGTTGGCATCCAAAAT